TAGTAGGTAGTAGGTAGTAGTAGGTAGTAGGTAGTAGTAGGTAGTAGGTAGTAGTAGGTGGTAGTAGGTAGTAGTAGGTAGTAGGTAGTAGTCGTAGTAGTCGTAGTAGTCGTCGTAGTAGTAGTCGTCGTCGTCGTAGTAGTAGTAGTCACAACAAGTTTAAACAAGCACAAAGAAAAGGCCAGGGACACAGGATCAAATTAATAGGGGGTAGTAGTGCAGATTATTGATGGGGGCCGGCCCTTGTTGTAGGTGGTAGGTGGTGATGGTGGTGGTGGTGTTGGTCGTGGTAGTAGCAGTAGCAGTAGCAGTAGCAGCAGCAGCAGCAGGAGTAGTAGTAGCAGTAGCAGTAGCAGTAGGAGTAGTAGTAATACGAAAAATTGACCTGGTTGTGGGCTCGGGTTATATAACTGGGGGGGATTGTTGGTAGAAAACTAGACCATAGGGGGGGGAAATCAACAGCCAATAATACTTTTTAATTTGGGCAATTTCCGGCGGCTTTGTGGGCTCGGATTAACTAGGGCAGATTTATTAATCACGTGGATTGAAACATGCATTGCCCTTTACAAGCCATACCTCTCCTTCATGTCAATGAAACAGGTGAGTGATGGCTTCAATTGGTTTCAATCTGGCCTGCTAGGCAATAGCTTCCCTCCTTACACTTCATTGCCTGCAGGTACGGCCTTCATCCAATGCCTCCCCCCTCCACTTCAAGGGTGAGGATATCAAATGGGGCAGTTGTTTTTCCTCATCTCCATCAAGCCTTTCTCTTCTGTGTTGAGCTATATTTAGTGTTTGCCACTTGAACCACTCAAGCATGCACTGGAAGCAGAAGCACCATTGCTTCATATGCAATTCATGTAATCACTGTACATCATTGTCATAGTTCCTATCCCAAAGCAACACTAACACCCGCTCACTGCAAATATACATGTTCTTGAGGGCCGAAAACAAGCCCACCGTGTGGGAGGAGAAGCCAGCTGAGCTAATACAATGTGCACCGATCAAAGTTTTGCCGGTATTTGCGTCCCAAACCACACATGTACTGTTCCCATGTTTGGCCTACAAGACTTAGAACATGAATTTTGGAGGCTTTGGCAGCACACTGATGGAATTCAATGGAAGAGTTGAATGATTGAAAGCCTCAGTGAAGGATGCCATATTCAGGGCGCAAACCACCAGACTGGTCCTGCATGTGACGGATATTTGCCTGGTGCTCCTTGTGCGCTTATTCCGTTTGTTGATGGATCTTGACTCGACCGGCTTACAGGCTCTAACATTCAGCTGCTGTCCAAGGGCTCAAGGCTTAACAAGATGCAAGGCCAATGGGATTGGAACTCATGGCACGGCAAGGGCGGAGGTGGAGCGATGCAAAGCTCATATGGCTACGGCGGCAAAGGTCATGGCGGCTATGACGGCTATGATGGAAGCTATGAGAATTATGATGCCAGCTATGGTGGGAGCTACAGTCACAGTTCCCCTTTCGCAATATGGTCCAATGGTTTTGGCACTTTTACAACGCCTATGAGATGCACTCCTGACAGTAATTACTGTAGCACCTACTGAAGCATCCGTTTGTGCCTTCGCGAGCATACTCAAGTGCATTGATGTGAGCCAAGGCGTGCCTGACTATGGCAAAGGTAACTCAGCAGGGAGGGTCACAGAGGGTCGGCAAGCGTACTTGTTTGGCACTGATGTGCCATGGTTGTTTGGTTTAATTGCTCAGCAGCTCAATGCCGCTGATGGCTTAGGCACTTCTTACAATGACAAAGGCAAAGGTGGCAAGAACGACAATACGGATGGCGCCCCGAAAGAGATCAAAGGATTGGTGAGGCGAGGTAGATGAGGTCGATATGGGTAGATGGATTTTTTGAAGTCTTTCTATAAATTGTCAATGCCATCTTCTTGGTTGGCACATGAAGTTTCTTTTTCTCGAAGACTCGAAGCACCTCTTTGCTGTAGAATGTATACTGCAACGTGAAGAATCATTCAGCTACAACCAAATTGCATTGGAAAATGGGTTTGCAGGCAACGCTTAGTTGAGCGCATGGAGTGCAGAAAGGCTAAAGAAAAGCCAGAAAGACCATAATCTATAGATTTGTAGGTGGCTTGTGATACCGAAGGGGCAAGTCTTAAGAAGCCAAGTCCGGCGGAATATGTCCTCCAAAAAGGAGATATCAATATTTCAAAGCAGGAGCTCAGAGCAAATAGCTGCAAGAGATTTGCGCACGCCAGTGCATTGTCCACCCTACATCTATGAATTCCCTCAAGGTTTGAACCTTGGCGCTTGCAAACGAAGGTCGATCATTCAGGCACAGGCCATGCCTGATGGGCGCAGTGATGAAAGCACCATCTTTGTTGCTGGCCTTCCGTCCGACATGACCAATTTGGAAATGTAGCCCGTCAGCATTGTTGATGCTCTCGAAGAGTTAAAGGCATGTCCGGGCGGTTTGCATCAATAGCATACAGAGGCACATAGGTGATTCATGTGGTGATGCCAAGATGTGCCATGATTCTCTTGAAGTTGTTCAAGTGAAATCTTACGTATGAAATCTTTAAGGCCTGCTTCAAACTGGCGAAATGCCGTGTTGATTCAGGCATTCAAGCGATTTCCAAGCGATTTCAAGCGCATGCACGCCTGAAGACTGTCTCAGGTATCAACTTTTCTCAGCTTTTGGAGCCATAGCACCTCGAGGTGCCTCGGATAGAACGAAGAGGTGACAATGTTGGAAAGATGCTATCGCTATCTATCTATCTATCTATCTATCTGTCGCTCAAAAGACACACTGTCTTCCTGTTTAGCAGTCAAAACGCGCAATTCGAACATGTGGCTGGAGGTGCTACAGCACTGCAGGACAAAGAGACTGGAAAGTGCACAGGTGTCAGATTGAACACTCGTGAGTGAGACATGGTTGAAAACCATTTTCGGACACAACAGGTATTGGCTTTGTGAACTTCATTGACTCCGACTCTGCTCAGAAGGCCCCCATGACCTTCCTCAGTCTTGAAACATGGGGGACACAAATTTCCACTAGCACAAGACTCTTCGCTGGCGTGTCATGGTTGCCATTGCAATTGCTGAGCACAGGCCATCCGAGCACTGAACAGCTTCCCATTTACGGCCGGGCTCTTTGTGACAAGAAAGCTGATGCATTCCAGCCGTCTTCTTTTCTTCAAGGACGATGCATGCATCACAGCACACTTATTTTGCTTTTGCAGGATGGCAGTTGGCTAACAGTTAAAAAGAAGGGCCCGTCTCAACCTTGGAAGCATGTGGAGGATGAGGGTGGCACAGCTTGAAATTGCAGGCGGTGCCAGTTACTAGGAGCATTCTGGGGCATGTACGCCTGAGGCCTAAAAGCAAGCCGGAAGAAAGTAAAGGTGATGGCAAGGGAGAGCAAGGCAAAGGAAAGGATGGCAAAGGCAAAGATGGGAAAGGCAAATCCAGGAGGAACGAAGGAAAGACGAGGAGAGAATAGGACATATGGGTTTACAGGCCTAATAGGCCTACTAGGCCATGACCTCAGGGATCCTGTGAAAGATTCTCATGGTGGAGTCTTTATGAGAATGTCTACGTGAATGGCTAAGGAACTGAGTATCAGCTGAATCTGAGAATCAGTATTTCGATGTATTTCGATGTATCTCTGTAGAGCGAATTTGAGGGAACTCTGAAGAGCTCAGGCGTTCACAGCGTATCTCTGTAGATTTGCGTATTTTCGCAGCTCAGAGCTTTGCTGCCTGGAAGTGCGATCAGCTCGTGCATGGCACATCCGAGTGGAAATTTGTGACAAGTTGCTTTCATGTGAAATCAGAATATATATACATTTTTGTGTCCTGATTGTGCCTTGCCCATCTCAACCTCAAGCCTCAGCTTTCGAGGTACTGCACGAAGCAGTTGCATTCATGTTGAACACCTTTGCTTGGAGCAGAGAAAATCAGAAAAGCACAAGGTATTGAATTCGATGTTTTCCCTTCAAAACGTTGTTACCAGCCTGACAACGGACCGTGAATCAAATTGCGTTCTAGTGCCAAGTATTTGCAAGATGCTGCCCCTTTCCATTTGACCAGGAGCTCCCGGAAGAGAGCATGAGCCTAAGTCTGTTGTGCGCATGTCCTGTTTTGCCCCCAAACCTAGGAACAAGGACGCTACTAGGGGCTCCTGGTCTTTTTGCATCTTTTACTGTCCAGCATGTTCACTGTTTTGCTGTAAGAGGTTCACGTCGCTTTTGCATTAATTGATATCGATCAAGCTGAGTGTTTGACGCTTGGCGTTTGACGCTTGGCAGCCCAGGCGTCTTCCAGAGAGCCAAGGGCCAAGAAGCGGTGTGGAAGGAACTCAAGAGCTTGAGACATTCACAAGATTGACAGCCTTCAGACAATTCGCTTACGGATTCTCTTGCCAGAGGTGGTCGAATAAGAGATTCAATCTCAAGATTAGTTGAATGAGTTGTATATTCTCAAAATCTCCTGTTTCCCAATTCAGATTCAAGGCGGCGCCAGTCTTCGAGAAAAAGGTGGCTCCTGCGTGTATTGTCAGAGGGGGCATGCCGGGCATGATGAGGGCTGCGGGTTTGTAGCAGCCGAGAGCGGTCGTGTTCATGCTTCTGTGGCAACATGTTTTGTCAGATGTGCCAAGCTTTTGCGCGCTCTATTGGAAGCGGTAGTGTCCAAGAATGAAAGGGATGATTCTGTCCTCAACCTTGGAGGTCGCGAAAGCGTGTGGAGCCCAGAGCAGGCACAGAACAGAGGCCTGAAATCAGCAAACGCAACAAGAGACCCAACAGACCACAGAGAGCTGGCGGCCTTCTACTACACATTACTACACTAAATTTCATGCTGTCCATTTGTTCACCAAGATATTGGCAACCATTTCCGAGGAAAAGAAGCAGCGTATTCTATTCTATTCTTTCTAAGGTTCAGCTTCCAGAAGAGTCTCTAGGCAAGGCTGACCCAGCAGATCATGCAAGTTCTACAGCTGGCCAAGCCAGCTTGGCCAACAGGCCTCTGACGAAAGGTCCACAACGCTTCCAAACACGTGGCCAGTGAGTAGCATGTGTTTGCGGCCTTTTGTGCGGCACAGCAAGTGCAACCCAACTCACGGAAAGGCTCCGACTCCCATATGGAAAGAATTTCGATGCAACCCATAGCCACGACAGCTAGAGCATGGTGACAAGCGACACACCTTCAATCACTCCAACCTTGAAGTGATAAATGTGGCAATTTATTTGGAGTTTTCTTGAGGAGAGTCGAAAGTTTCTTGAGGAGTAGTAGCAGAGGGCATTAGTAGTAAAACAGAGTTCAGGTTTGACCGCGACTTAGCACCGGCACGTTCGGCTTGGAAGTTTTCCGGCCCAAACACGTGCAGTCGCCAGCAACTCTCGGAACTTCGGAGCATGGCATGAACTCTTTGCTCTTTCGTCTCGAGCTCTCGGGTTTGGACCGTACCCGTTCCACCCATCAAAGAAGAGCGTGCAAAACATCGGATATATACTGTAGAAGGTTTGCATGTAGAAAAACAGTTGATTCGCTTTAGGCAAAGCCTACATAAGATTGACAGTCCCTCAGTACCAGCCACATCCACATCCTAAATGGTGACAGCAGGCCACGCGGAGAGCGCAGCAACCCCAGCGTCCCCGGCGAGAGATTTCAGTGTCAGCAAGCTGTGAGTTCCAACTTGTCAACTGCGTCCAAGCCTTTGGCAGTGCACGAAAAGGAGATCAGTAAGCAGATAGAGATAGACTGAGATTGCATGTTGAACTTCATGCCTCGAAGCTACTTTGCCTCAAGTATTTGTTGTGTTTGTCATGGCATGGTGCGAAACAGAAAGACGGCGTGCAGGTTTCAACCAGAATTGCGGTGTTGTGAAGCGCAACGTTGGCCACAGCATGCCATGACGCTGCAGCTTGTTTGATGGCATGATGGCATAGGCCATGCACTGGCGTAGAAATATGAGAAATGGAGCTTAGAGTACAGTAGAGAACGCAGACCCACCAAAACTACAGTCTAAATTGCAACTTTGAGGCTATTGGTTGGCAACCCAACAGACGGATTTTTGTTACGATCGAAGGCTCAAGCTATTTGTACAAAGCCACTTAGATCATGACTGAGCAGTTTTCCGGTCAGGCTAAGCCCCCAAAGTATTTCAATGGATGTGCAAGAAAAGAACAGAGGCCCACATTTGGAGACGAGTAAACTTGCTTTGCTCGCATCATGTTGCATGCTGCGTCCTGCATCCTTGAATAACAATGCAGCCTTTGGGTATATTGATGCGATAGTTGATGCGATATTACTGTACTTAATTTATTTGATATGTATATCCTTCAATTGTTCTGCCTCTTTAATTGAACCGCATTTACATCACATGACCATTTCCCAGACCCACCGTCAGCGGAGGCTCATGCCTGGAAGATGCGCACCTTGGCTCAGCCGAAGTAAAGCACTGCCTTAGGTATTGTTGAATGAGGTAGTGTATGCATGAACTCATCAACTCACCTTCAAAAGATTCCCATTCCGCCAGCTGTTTCAAGTTTCAAGGCTTTGTTCCAAGTTTTCAGGGCAAGCCGCCCTGTGGCCAGACCAGACTCTAGGCCTGCCTGGACCTTTGTTCGTCTCAAATGGGAGGTCAAGGTCGAGGCAAACCGAGACCTACAAATCGAGGCGGAAGCCTAAAGGTGCCCGAGCCAAAAAAGACTGCAAAGGCCTCTTCTGGCCAAATCCTTTCGCCAGAAGAGGTGCGGTCAGACTTCGACGGGTGTCATGTGCGGGCGGATGTGATGTTGGAAAGGATGAGATTGGAAGATGGTTTGATGGATTTTATTCAAACGATGCCGTTGTTCTTGCTTTGCCTTCTTTGCTTCTTGGTGGCTATCAGTATTTTAAGTCCTGCTGAAGAGACCTCCGCCATTCATCAACATTTGGAAGCTCACTTTCAGCTCGAAGACGTTGCTGCGGTGAAAGATGTTGCTGGGATCTATGACTTCGTAAAGACCTTTGAGATAAAGAACTTGGACATGAGGCCGACTTCTACGCGCTATTGGTGTGAACATCGCTACTTTCAGTACCTTTGGGATGATCATTATGCGATCCCGCGAACGGCTTGCAGCAGTCCAAGGTACACCTCATTGGGTTTGCAGAGTGCTCCTGCGTGGAGCAACGACAGCACAACATCAGGCCTGAGAAGTTATTGGACCATTGAGATGGTTTGTATGCTGGGTTCTTCTAACATACTAGCGGTGGCCCCCAACCTAATAGCGGTGGCCTCCAACCTACTACATTTATTGTTATAAGTTTGGAATCCCTGCGATGGTGTAAAGACGCCGGGAGACATGTAGTATTCACTTGTGCTGTCCGTGCATGCCAGCAAGAAGTACAACCAGAACTGATTTCAAGACTTCAAAAGATGAAAAACCATTTATCAAAACGCTACTAGTAACAGGTGCATCGCTAGTAGTAACAAGTGCCTTACTAGTAGTAACAATGTTTGCTATTAGAAACAAGTGCATCGCTACTAGGAGCAAGAAGCTACTAGTAACAGGTGCCTCACTAGTAGTAACAATAAGAATTTAAAGTCCGATTCATGACACTCGGTGTGACTTGCCTCGCGTTTGAGCCACAGCGGCCTTCCTTGAGGTCATAGACGACTCGGAGGAGGTGCATCAAGTGAGGCGACACACCAAAGCCCACCATGCGAGGACAACGATACAGCTTACCAACTAGAGGAAGACAAGAATGTGACATGCCATGAAGATGCTAGCCATGCATGTCAGATTGACTTGGGAATTCTTCTTTGTCCAAGAACTTGTGGCTACTGTGCCCCCTTTGAATACGAGAAGATGAAAAGATTTGGCAAGCCACAAGTATCGCTGCTTCCATCTGTTGTGTATCAGAGCCGTTTGCGTGAGACAGAATGTCATGGCTATGCAGCGCTTACGCAGGAGCAAAACTATAATCCACTCTTGTCGCTGTTACCAGCCATGGATGGGAAGAAGCGAGGTCAGATTTTGACTTGTGTGGACCGTTCTCAAAAACAGTCCTCAGAATATGCCCTGTACATGGACTGTCCAGAGCACACCCCAAGCCATCGATGTGTTGATGGAAAAGTTGGCATTGGATTGAAGCAAAACTTTCATGGAGAACCAGTCTATGCAGAGATGCTGATAGAAAGTGACAAGGCTTTAACATCAATGCAGAAAGCTGGTTGGATTGACATCCAAACTGATACCGTCTCCGTAAGCACTATGGTTTACACAGAGGGTGTGGAAATGTTTACTTCACTGACGGTTGAGTTCACCTTTGACTACGCCGGAAACGTGGAGGGGGCTGTGCACATGGTGACATATCGAGACCTCATTCGTACAGCTGCCTCCAACTTTGCAGGGTGCTTGGCAACCACATGTGTGGGTGCTTTCATCGCCCTCGTGTCTTTAGTCACATATTTGTGCTGCCACCCAGACCAGTACAACTTGGGACTGATGCTGTATGCAATCATCTCTCGCTTGGTTCTGCTGATTTATCCACTTATTCTGCTGATCTCTTGGAGTCACCAAGCTCCAATGTCACACGAATATGATCTGCTTGTGGGGACATTCCTGGCAAATGAGGGCATGGACCAAGAGCATGTGCAGCACAGTTTAGCGGAGTACTTCAAGGTCGGCAGGGGTTGGTTTCTGACACCTTGTAGATGGTCAGAATGCCGGGGATAATTAAATTACAACCCTGCAAATGTGCAATAATTAAACATTTGTGTGACGCGTGTGGGGCCGATCTATTTTCGGCTCGTGCTCATCAAACTATAAGGGGCCACGTGCAGGCTTGGCTGAAAGATTGGAAACACCTGACTGTGGCTAGCAATTCCCGACGGATACCATAAAATGCATTAAATTACAGCATAGACCCCAATAGCAAGGCAGGATCTAAAATGCAAAAAAAGGGCAGGTTTTGCAACAAGGTGCTTCGACGGCCACGCTCTCCAAACAGCTGACTTGCAGAACAATCCGGAACAGCACCTACACCGAAGGCACCTGCACCGACACCCAGTCTCCAAAGCGGGCAGACGCCAGTGTCGTGTATATGGTGCATTGCGCTCGTTGGGCTCTACCAAATTCCTCAACAGCCTTCTTGCTTCTCACTGACACCTCCGAGACGTAGGCCACATGCAGATGAGCCAAGATGGCAAACACAGGCAACCTCATGCAGGGCAACACTTCGCAGCATCCAGCTAGCTGTGGCCGATCCCTCCACCACGTAGGACGTTGACAAAGAGCATCAAGACAACCAAGCCATTGGATCGAGTTCCGGTCTGATCATCTACGACAATTCCTTGATTTTAGTTTTTCCTCTATCTTTTCTCCTCAACCTCACACCGCTTCCGCTCACCTTGGAACACTCCTTCTCTTTAGATCAAGAAGCGACGCTGTTTTGCATGCATGCTGCCAAGTGGGGGGATGCAGCAGCTGCAGAGCCCCCCAAGTCCAACTACCAACACTTGGACTGGGAAGCAACGACCCTAGAGCAGCCTCAATGCTGCCTGGACTTTTCTCAATCATTCCAGGGCAAGGGCCCACGATGTTTGTTGCGCCCAAGCCCTCAACCTCCAGCTTCTGTTCATAGGGTTCCTGTTGTGGCAAAGTCTTGTAAGAGCCTCAAAGTCAAAGTGCTCAGGGCCCTGAGGGCCCTGACGACGTCAGCCTCCTCACTTGTCCTCTCCCGTCTTCCTGTTTCCCCCTTTCTCTTTCCTTCATACCTGGCTTCCTCTTCTTTCAGGAACTCCCTTGATGAGGAGTCGAAGACTTGCGGGTGGAACCAAGGAGCCGAAGACTTGCGGTGCTTTCCTGGCAGCGGCATCTCGAAGCTGGTCCTTGGCGAAGAAGCTGAGGGGATCAGAGGCCAGCGGTGGTGGAGGTGCTGAACACCATTTTAGTTCTCCTTTCTCCTCTTTCATAAGTTCTTACCCTCGCTCCTTTGCTTCCTTCTCCTTAGGAGCTGCTTCCTCATGAAGCCTCGGGGTCATAGGAGGCAAAGCAAGCACCGCCTTTTCTCGCTCGGCTGTGCTATGGGGAAATTCATGGAAACTTCTTGTCAGAGCGAACGGGCCAGCGGGCGTCTTAGCATGGGGCTCATAGCCTGCTGATGCCCATGCAGCATGAACCTGAGAAGGATTCAAACCAATGTCATGTCCAAAACAGTCCAGGCATCTTGCTAGGAAAAGGGCTGCATAATGCAGTACAACATGTGCATCTTCCAACAGTGACAATTAGAAAAAATGTGAATTAAAGGCTCAAGTCAGTTGAGCCGCTTTTCGAGAGATGCGCTACGCTTCTTAAAATCAAGCAAATCTGCAGCAAACACAAGCGTCTTTGTTCCTAGTAGTAATGCCAGGAGCTACTAGTAGCGAGGACTACTAGTAGTAATGGCCTCCACCTTAGTAGCGTCCTTACTCCTAGTAGCGATGCCCTTTCTTCCTACTTGTTACTAGTTCTTTGTTTCATTTTGTTGTTTGTCTTTTACCAGCTCTTAGCTGGTGTTTCCAACCGCATTTTTGTTAGAGAAAGATTGCTGCTTACTTGGTCACCTCTGGAGGTGAAAGGCGTGATCTATGAGGAAGCTGCCTGGCTTGAACGACATCGCATCGCTTCATATGTGGTTCTCTATGTGCAATTCCTCCAGATGGTCTTAGCATTCAATGTCCATCCCAGGGTGGCGATGTTGACTTCCACTGTGCAGAGGGCTTTGCACAACATGATGCATTTCTTTTTCATTTTTGCAATTCTCTTTTTGATGCTGGCCTTCATGGCGAACTTCTTGCTGGGAGGTCGGATCCATCTTTTTGGTACGTTTGGGAGTGCTTGCTCTGCTCAGATTCGCATGCTTTTCGGTGAGTTCATCTACGCAGAAGGAGTGGAGATGCTCTCAGGGACTTCACTAGCAATGTATTGGCTTTATGCTATATCTTTTATGCTCATTGCCACTTGGTCTTGTGTTCATTCACATGCATTTTGTGCAGTTGTGTTTCCCTCTCCGAGCGGGTTGAGGGAAACTAAGAGGTGTGAAAAGGTTCTGATACGCGGAACCAGAAATTCTGCAGTGAGGTGTTCTTCACGTTGCTGAATTTCTTTTTGGCAATTATCGTGGATGCTTTTGTGGAAGTGAAAGAGGCATGCGGGCAGCTGCAGTGTACAAAGAGTTTTTTCAGCGATCTTTGCTCCATGACTTTGAGTCTACATCTTCAAAGGAAACACAGGCTGCCTCCAAGGAAGAAGGTTATCAAGTACCTCACCGATTCCTTGGAGACATACAATCTACAGAAAGGAGAGGAGAAAGCGCAAAATGCCAAGTGTCCACTAGTTCCGGCACGAGACTTTGCCAGAGATTTTGGATTGACAGAGGAGGCTGTCTCCCATTGGTTGTGTCGCGTGGAAAGCTTCAGTTCCATGCAGGTGATCCATTTTCAGGAGTTCTTTTCCCAGGAGACTGAGACCAAAGAAATTGAGGAGAAAGAGCCAGAGATGGAGGAGAGTACAGGAGTTTTCAATGAGAAGTTTGATGCAGTTAGCATTAATCCTGACGAGATTGTTGCCCCGGCTGAGCCGGTCAAGGTTACACATATTTGAAGTAATACAGGATGTTCAACAATGTATTTGAGCAAGATGTTCAAATCGTTCAAGTCTCACAGCTTTCGCTGCAATAGTTCCAACGAGGACCGCAGACAAGAAACAAATCGGTTCTGCTTCGGATTTTTTACGTTCCGACTTGGTCCGATCTTTCAGTTGATCCCACATTGGAGTCGGCATGTTCAGAACCCTTTGAGCCCAGGCACTTCGGGCAATGAGGTGCAATGGCAGGACATGGATCGAAGCGATGCAAAGAGAGAGCGACAAGGGCAAGTGATGCTTGGCTGAGACCATTTGGATGGCTGGATGGACTCGACTTGTCAATGCCAACAAGTGCGGCCGATGTGGACAAAACAGTAAGGAGTTTGGTTGCCGGAAGCTGCAGACATCTAGGCGAGAGCATGTCCAAGTAGAGTTGTTGATCTCACGAAACGTTAGCTAGCTGCTCGCGTCCCTTTTGCTTGAGCACTTGTTGGGCAGCTTGACCATGCTGTGATAAATGAATCTTTTGATCGACTGTGATAAGTAACTTCTCACACCAGGAGCAACATCAACCGTTTCCAACAGTCAAAATAATACCATAATATGAGAAAACAATAAGTTATCCACCGACTTTTCAGCAGCGGAAATGTCCACTTCAATGGCGGTGGTAAGGAACGTACGGCTTTGCCACCGGTACAACCTGCAGGGCCAAGGGTGTTTGAACGACTCGCCCGTGCTTCATCGTTAGCACCACCATGCCTGCGCTAGCGACGTCAGCCTGGACAAAGCATTTTGTTGAATTGATCAATGAAGACGGATGCAGAGAAATTCAAGTTGCCGATGTTCATTAAATCACATTATATCATATTTTGCCTTTAATACCATTTGAGCCTTCTAGTATCTTCTAGTTGTGTGGCCATTTGATCTTCGAAGGTGGCATCTCACCCGGAGGCTTACAGCGCTTTCAAGGCTTCGTGGGGCGTGTCTCCAACTGTTTGAAAAGCATTCTTCTTCGTTTATTCGGAGCAATGGGGAGTTGAGTACTCGAGTTCAAGACCGAACCGAAAAAAAATAGAGTAGCATTCTTGCCTGTTCCAAGCCGTCCGACCATATCCGACCTGTCATGTCACCGGACTGGAAGAATGTAGCCTGAGCTCATGACAGTTCACCGTTGCGGCCTGTTGCAACCTGTCTGGGCTTTCAAACTTGCGCCTCATGAGTTGGTGGTGCCTGTCAGGTATTCTTCACGACTGCAGATTGGTTATCATTATATATCGTTCTTATTTTTCCGGCCAAACCCGGAGTCAACCCGGTTTTGTTCCTTCTGGAGGCAGAGGTGCTGGCAGAAAGCGTTAGCAGAGCTGCAGGCTTTTGGATTCACGAACGTTTTCCACATCAATGCTGCCTCCTGTCAATGAATTTCATCGTGCGCTGTCCGACGGATCTTGACGTCGACCTCTCCTCGCTGTGCCACAAAGACGCCGAGATCACTAGGAAAATATATAGTTCGTGCTCTGGGCACCGAAAAACCAAGGCAATGCTTGGGTTAAAAAGTGCAGAGTGGCCGAAAGCTTTGCAACTTCTACTGCTTTTGCAAGTGGCTGGCCGCCAACCAGATGCAGTAAGTACCTTGCCTAGTTTGTGTTGTTGCAAGTTGCTGTGTGAGACTCACATTGCTGCTGAACCGAACGTAAGCATCAAAATCCGTAATTTAAAGCAGAGCCTTCAGTGCAGGGGCCCACCTTTGATGAAAAGGCAATGTCAAGAGTCCTATTTACTATTTCTTACGTTGACTGGATGCAAGACTACGCAGCCCAAGCAGGGTAGCAGGGCCACATTCGGTCCTGCAACAGCACATGTTGTTTTGAGTACTGTGGAGTCACGTGACCTTGTTCCTAGTAGCGATGCCCTTGTTCCTAGTAGCTTCTTGCTACCAGTAGTAATGCCCTTGTTACTACCAGCTTCTTGCTTGTCATTTTGAGGTTTGAGCAGCGTTCTTGCAACCCAAACTTGGGATCTTGCAGCTCGCACCCTGACACTAGAGAGAGAGAGAGAGAGAGAGCGAGTGCCAATGGACCAGATCGCACATCTCAAAAAGCTTAAGTGTCCGCAGTGCTCACAATGTACTTAGAAGAAATGTATACTAATCGTTTAGCAGACTTAGTGTTCTATTTGTACTACTTATTTATCTTCAGTTGCTTGACTGTGAAAGTAGTTGCGAAAGTTTATTCCTCACACCTTTGTATATAATGTATGTTTTTTTGTCCTTCTGTCTCTACTCCTTGCGCCTTCTCCTCCACCTCCTCCTCCTCCTCCTTCTCTTCCGTCGCTCCGTTTCTCACACACTCATCTCTCACTGCACGTCCAAAAGGATGAAACGCACAAAACGAGAAGTGTACACTCGACAGCCGCTTTTATGCTCGAAAATAGGAGCGTTGAACCTTGCAGGTTATGAGCCCAAGGTGACAGGTGTAAGACCCGTGGGCAAGGACGGGCAGCCCTGCGCGCTTGCAAGCAATGTCCATGGTGGCTCGTCGGAGACGAAGGCAGCCTGGCGATGGGGATGAAGAAGAGGACCCAGCCGATCAGGGAGGCCTTCAATTACAAGATCGGCAGCTGGAAGAGGGTCAGCTGGCCTTGGAGGATGGCGAAGATCAAGGGGAAGAGACCCTTGAAGGTCCGAAAGGACCGCCTACAACCTTGACACCGTTGACCCCACTCTTCACGCCGGAACAGCTGAAGGGACTTCATGAAGTGCAGAGCCAAGCTCCTCACCTATATGCTCAAGTCCCGAGGCAGAGCATCTGGCAGCCTGGTATGGGGAACAGGTCGCCAGAGGAGGTGCAAAAGGAGAGACCCACGTTCCTGCCGAAAGAAGAAGGTTCAGTGGGAGTGCTTCCACAGACGAGCACGACGACGGGGACACCATCACCGGCACTGGTGGGCGACCATGTACCAGATGACCAGCGACGTGGACGACCAAGAGAACCACGGGTACCTGAAGTACAAGAGCCTGAAAGTGACAGCGATGGGCGACAACCTCCCCAACCTAGAGAGCAATCGGTGGTTCAGATCCAAGGGAACGGGCCTGGAGGAAGAGGTCTGCATGTTCCGAGAGGCTTTGGACAAACTGGCCCACCTGGGTACATCATGCCCCATGAAGAGAGGAGGGGACCTATGCCGCATCAAGGAGGATGGCAAGTTCAGCTGCATCCCTATGGCCCTGGTCCGCCAAATCCACAGGAGATGATGACCATGTTGGCAATGCTGAAGCAGGAGAATCACAACTGCAGATTCAGCAAGCAGAGCTCATGGACGCCATGAAGTACCAGAGGGCTAGCCTGGAAGCCAAGGTCCATGATCTACAACGTGAGCTGGAGCAGCAGGCTTTCAGAACGCCAGAAAGCGATGAGCCTGTGAATCGTCAGCTGGAATTGACGGTCGACGAGCCTCCGAGAGAGACAGATTTGGAGATGGAAAGACGCCGGCTGTATGAGTTGACTCCCATGCAACAGTTCGAGCAGCTCCAATCCTTGATGGGGACGGTCACTCCGGCGCCAGCAAAGCGAGGTGGTCGGGGGCAAGGACAACGAGAGAGGTCGAGATCTCAAGGTCCGAGAACGGCACGTCAGGGAGGAGGTCAACCTGAGGGCTTGGTGGCATTTCGGGCGAAGGGCTTCGAACCGGAAGGGAGACAAGGGACCGGGAAAGGTGTGGGTCAGCCAAAGAAGAAAGCCACAGCCGAGCAGCCTGGTCGATCTTCAACAGCAAATGTTCGGGAGGAACCATCAAGAGAGCACGGTGGTGGCATGGCTGATGCGATGTCTATGCTGATCACCTACCTGGTCGACAAGGACAAGAAGCAAGAAGGACCGGAGTCGGTCAAGCCGGGGACGGCCACACTCCCAGTCCTGGCAGAGCCATCCGATACGGCTCCCATCGACCTTGCTGACTGGCTCACTATGGTGGAACCGGCTATGACAGATCTTAGCGACTCGTCAGGCGAGTGGTGGGAGTTGGTGGTGAGCGAAGCAAGGGCTTGGTACCAACAGTACATCAAGCTTCGTCCAATTCAGCGGGCATCATCCAAGATCGAGCCGTCTGCTGAGTTGCAAAAGCCGAAGTGGGCTCGAGTGGAAAAGAGGGCCATCAGCATGCTGCTTTCTTCAGTTCCCACGCCAGTGAAGGAGGAACTGGTAGCAACGAGGACTTTGTCACCGCTGGGGCTGGTGAGCAAACTCATGGTCCTCTATCAACCAGGTGGTGCTCATGAGCGCACCATCATCCTGCGGCAACTTGAAGATCCGCCAGAAGCAGGGTCGCCAAGCGAAGCCTGCATGGGGCTCCGACGCTGGATGCGCTGGCTCAGGAGGGCCACTGACATTGGCCTGAATCTCCCTGATGCGATCATCCTCATGAAGGGCATCAACAAACTCAGCAAGCGGATCCTCACTCAACAACCGGATCTGCAATTCAGATGTGCCTTGGTCAAAAACACCTTGCAGCTTGATACCATCCCCAATGAGGAGACTGTTCGGACGTATGCTGAGCATTTACTCGCTGAACTTGAACAACTCATGCACCGAGTCCGACCGTCTTCGAGCACTACGAGACCTGGAAATCAGGGAGGTGGACCATTGGCAGTAAAGGCACTACAAGGGGAAGATCGAGAGAAGAAGGGGGACTCGCCAACGACATCGGCGAAGGGTCCTTGTCGATATTTCCTCACCGAGTCTGGATGTCGAAGAGGGCAGTCGTGCAAATGGGCGCATCAACTGGAGACTGGCGACAAGCAGAACCAGGAGAGAAGGTGCTTTACGTGCGGGGCCACACAACACCTGGCTCGAGACTGTCCGAGGAAAGAGACGGCAAAGAAGGGAGAAGGACCTCCATCTGGCCAGAAACCGAAGCTTCAGAAGCTGCTGGACAAAACTGGTGGTGGTGGAAATGGGACCTCGCGGAGCGAGTCGGGGGCTTCAATTTCTCCTCAAGCAGCGTCCTCGCAGTCGGTGACTTCAGAGGCGGCATCGGATGCAGCGACAAGAACTGCAGACCCAATCAAGAATGTGCTTGATGAGGCGCACAAGTTGCTCAAGGGCATGAACCTCGAAGAAGAAGGGCAAGATCGTGCAACGGACCTTGGTGCGACGTTGAAGAAGCTGAATCGAGCATGGGAGAAAGGTGGCCCAGAGCTACGGGCAGTCAAGATAGCTCGAGTCCAACAAGGTCGAGAGGGACTTCTGGATTCTGGGGCAACGCACGCTCTGAGGCCCAAGCTCCGAGGAGAAGACCTTCAGAGATATCGCCAGGTGAGGGTGACGTTGGCTGCCGGAGGAGCACAAGACATCCGAATGACAGAAGGGGAGACGCTGGTCCACAACAATGAGAACGTGGAGCCGATCGTCCCGGCCGGAAGGCTTGTCCGCGACTTGGGGTGTCGAATCGAGTGGATGGGGGAAGCTTGCACTTTGGAGCACCCAGTCAAGGGCAACATTGACCTCAGAGTTGAGGCGGGATGTCCTCAAATGGACCATGATGTTGCGTTGGACCTCATCAGGGAGCTGGAGGAATCTCGGTCGAGAACGGCGTTGAGGTGCTACCGATTTGGGGAGGCTCACAATGACGTCGACTGGCTGGACCGGGTGGTGGCAGATTGTCCGATCTTCGACAAGGTCCCGATCCGAATCAAGGAGGAATCTTGAGGTCCTTGGAGTCAATCGACGCATCCGCAAGCGCTGGAAAAATGAGGGTGTGGTGGTTCATCTCTACGCTGGGAAGAATGAGGGCTACGATCTCACAAGGGCTCTCAAGGAGGCTGGCGGAGACACTACGAGATTGTTGGAGGTGGATATCCTTCGAAACCAAAGTCATGACATGTCAAAGGACGATGCAATGTACGCAGCACTGCTAAGGATTGCGATGTTGGGCTGGATTGATGCGGTGATCGGTGGACCCAACTGCAGGACCCGCAGTGAACTACGACATCATCCGGTCACGGGACTACCAGGGCCATCGAGATCGTTGGGAAGACCCTGGGGCTTGGACGAGTTGGATGAAGTGGAGAGGGCAAAGTGCCATTTGGACGATGTGCTGCTGTTGCGTATGGTGACGCTCTATGTGGTGGCAAAGCTGGGTCGAGATGCACGATTGTCCCAGGAGAAGAATTCTGCGTTGCTGCCAACGGTCAGGTTCTTGATGGAGCAGCCTGCAGCGCCCCAGCACATGCCGGAAGTGGCATCCTTCTGGAGAACCGAAGAGTGGAGGGTAATGAAAGAGCATCTCAACCTGGACATGGTGACCTTCAACCAGGGTGCCTATGGTGGTATGGCGGTGAAACCTACCTCACTGGCATTGAACATGGAGTTCATGGTTCCCGAGGATCGGGGCCCGCCCAAGGCCTTCTTGAAGACCAAGCATGAGGTGTCGAGCTCCGAGCTGGCGAGATGGGCCCCCGGAATGATGCGAGAGATTGCAAGAAGCATCACTGTCAACATCCAGAAGAGGCGGGTGACGATGAAGGCCTTGTCTTGGCAGGAGCACCTGGCACAGGGACACGTGCCGTTCCGCAGAGACTGCGCTGTCTGTCAGAGAGCAGCGGCAAGGGATCGACCACATCGAGCTCAAGGGATAGCGGCTCCGTGTGTGCTGTCGCTGGATCTGACTGGACCATTTGTGCTCGGCCATGACATTGACGGCGACCTCAAGAAGTACCTCCTGGTTGGAGCATACACGTGGCCGGTCATGGAGGAGGCACCATGGGACGAGGTTGAACAGCTGGAGGTGATCCCAGACAAGGACTGGCCTACACTCGAGGAAGAGGAGGCTCTTCGGGAGGTGGAGTATGACCTGGCTCAGGATCTGGAAGCTCATGGTGAGGAGATGTCCTATCGACCTACGTCAGATGAGGGCGAAGATCTGGAGATGGGTGAGCCGGAGGAGGATGAACGGCAGGGCGAAGGAGACGGTGATCAGTTAGAGCCGCCGCCTGATCCAGGACCCAGTCAACCAGAACCACCATCGGTACCAC